TAGTGAACGTTGAAAGTCGAAACGTCGGTGGAAAGGCGCCAACATGCAACGCGCCATACAAGGCGCCACGGGAACGGTCTCGAACAACGGCGCGGGAACCGTTGAACCAAACCTCTTCGTTTTCTTTGGGCTGGGGCCAACAACGCGGTCGTGGGAGGAGATGGCGCTGAATACTGTACTCTGCTGCTTGATAGGAGCTTTGCAAGCTTTATCAAACATTCATCGAATAAAAAAATGTAATTAGTTAAAACCGACGAGTGCGCCGATTCAATTCGCAACAGGAATGCTCGATCGTTGTGGTGAGCTTACAATGAATATTTCTCTAGCGTGAGGGTAATTGCCCATGACTTTCACAAGTTATCTGAACCTCGCCCGCGAAAAGCGTACGACTCGCTCAGCTGTCGCTTGGTTCGAAATTGAAGGCCTGGAAAGACCCCGGACCAGCCAGTCACGTCGCGACTACTGTCAGCCTTCCATGATTGGACAGAAAACGTCGGCCACAGTCGTGGGAGAGGGATGACGACTGACGACCAAGTGGTGGAAAGGGATGACGACTGACCACACCAAGTGGATAAGAATTTGTATTGTTTTTCTGCAAAAACTCTTAAATACTAGGAGAACATACGATATAATTAGCTCAATTTTTCCATTCATTACACTTCTATGCATAGTCTGGTATTTTTTACGGGTATGGGACGTTCATTGCTAGACCTGGTTCCTAGCTCCTCTACTTTCTCTCCCGTCGAGTTGGTTGCGCGTGACGGCACTAAATCTTTACGTGCACCTTCTCGGCGTTGGATCAGGTGGTCTCAGGTCGTGAGGGACCTAAGGTTGTGACCACGTGATCAGGTCCGCAGATTACCACCTCGGTAACTGCTAACGTGCTTGCAGCAGCCGCCAAGTCACATCAGCACGCTGATTTGCACCTCTGGCCATTAGTAGCCTAGTCAGCGGCGCTCGATCCCTGCACCAGCTCAATCGCCGTAGCGAGTTCAGCTAGAAAACTTTTTTGGATCTAGGGTAACCAGGATACAGGGTAACCGGACTACACAGTAACTAGATTGCTAAGTAACGAGGCCTGAGCGATGGCGAGAAAGAAGGTCTCAGAGGTGATTAAGGTGAACCCTAAGGACATGGGGGGGAGGAAGACGCTGCCGTGTTTCACGGAGATGATGGCGTTTATGAGCTGCATCAAGGAGAACGCGTTCGACACGACGCCGTGCCAGAAGCACCTCACCGCGCTCGACGCGTGCATGGACACGCAGGTCAGTTTGCCGTGATCACACATTATCGCTTGTGGACGCATTTGATCGCACATGATCGCCCTTGATCGCCCATGTTCGGCCATGATCGACCTTAGTCGCCCATGATCGCCCTGATCGCCCATAATTTTCGTCCATGATCGCCAATGGTCGCCCATGATCGCCCATAATCTCCCATGATTGGATGTGATCGCCCATGATCAGCCATGTGTGACTTCCTTCCCTTCTCTCTTCCCTCCTCTCCTCCCTCCTCCCTTCCATCCTCACTTCGCTCCTCTCTTTGCCCCCGTCTGCTGCATTGGGGGTCGCATACAGATATGTCTTATGAGTTGACTAATCTGCACGTTTTCCGACCCTTAGCCATTTTAGACCCTTAGCCATTTTACAAGAATTCTCATAAGTCATCTGCACGGTTGTGTAGCATCTGTGCGATCTGCCCCCCCCTATACCCTTTCTTCATGCCCACTCTTATTTTTCCTCCGTAGTCCTCTCCTCTCCACACTTACTTTTCCTGTATCAACATCCCCACTTCCCTCCCCTCTTTCCCCTTCCTTCTCTATTAACATCTTTTCTCTCCCAATCCCATCCTTAACACATTCCCTCGTACCTTCCCTCGCATGTTGTCAGCCCTCCTTCCTCACGTTTCGTAACATCCCCCTCTTTCTGCCCCGTTCTTCCCTACCTCCGTTTTCTCCCCGCTCGTACCATCCCCTCCCGTGTCTCTCATGTGCTGCTGCATCTGTGTGTATGTGCGTGGTTGTATAGGTCCAAAGTTGACAAAGATATATGAACCTTCCCCCTTTTTTCGCATGCCATCCCCCTCCCTAACCTGCGTTGTTGCATCTGTGTGCATGCAGGGGTTCAAAGGGAAAAGCGGAAACTCAATCAAATTTCCTCTTTCCTCCCCTCTTGTACCATCCCATCTCTTGCCTCCCCTGTCGTGTGTGTATGCAGAGGTCCAAAGGGAAGACCAGGAACACAATCAATTTTCATTTGCAAAGAATAGCCAAGTCCATGAAAAGATGATGGGTTGCCGAAGAAATAGATCCTGCACAGAAGAATTTCCTCGAGGAGATGGCTTATTTCCTGTCAAAATTTGTAGGGTAGGGTGGAGGAGTGCTGTTTTGGTTTCCATTAGAGAAGTCGAAGAGGATAAAGCAGGATGTATGCCTGCACCTACCTACCCTACCTGCCTTCAGTCATGCCACCCTTTAGGGTATTTGAAAGATCACATCTCATTGAATGGTTGTTCGAATACGGTATGAACAATCTCTCATATTTCTCGTACAAACTCACGCGAAAAAAAAGAGTACACGTCGGAACAGTGGCGGCCGTCATGTGGTGCACACTGAGCAAGGTAAGCATCATACACGTGGTGGGGGGTTGGCGGAGAGTGGTGGAGAGGTGTTATAGAAAGGAGGGGAGCTCGCAGAAAGACTAGCAGCAGAAACGGGATAAAAGGGGGTTGGTGAAAGAGGGGTTGGTGAAGGAAGGGGGTTTCGAGAAGAGAAGCTGCAAGGAGAAGGCATCAGTTATGGTTTGCAAGAGTAAAGTTCAGCGCAAGAGGACGCTCGCACCTGTACCCAAGAATCGTCGACACGTTACCGAAGGATCGGGCTAGACTCAAAACACGGGCTAGACTCAAAATGTGCCGAGTGTTGGACAGGCATGTGAAGATCGCTCAGTCTACATGGCGACGAATGTGCGAGGTGTTAGTTATAGAGTGTGGGACAGCAATGGTGTCATCTTCGAGTCTGTTCATGTGCACCCATGTCAGCACGAGAGGGACAGGTCAGCACGAGAGGGACAGGTCAGCACGAGAGGGACAGGTCAGCACGGGAGGGACAGGTCAGCACGAGAGGGACAGGTCAGCACGAGAGGGACAGGTCAGCACGGGAGGGACACGTCAGCATGAAAGTGACGCCCTGAATTGACAGGAACACCCGGGAGGCAATGAACTTTGAATGAAGTTCCGAACGTTTCAAAGCTCATCCGGGAGGCAATAAACTTTTGAGGCGCCTCAAAAGTCCGGGAGGCAATAAACTTGGTATTCTGGAGTCCTTGATGGCTGCGTCTTCTTGGCTTTTCCTCTAAGCATGCATGCTCTAAGCACCTTAGCACCCCCTGCTTTTGAGTCGACTCAAAAGCACCCCCTGCATGGATGGAACCCCTCATCCAGCCCTGCGCTCCAACACAGGCTCACCCGGGAGGCAATGAACTCGGCATGCTGGATGCCGTTGATAGCTGCGTTCCTCTTCGCATCCTCCACTGCCGATTCATTCATCTCAATTCCGATCACCTGCGAGGTGAAAGGAGCAAAACAAGAGTTCAAGTCATTCCCAGGCATGTGCGCATTGAAGAAGGAATACTCACATCTTCCACTGCTGAATCGTCATCTCGATTCCTATCACCTGCAATGCAAGGAACCGAGTGGACTTTTGAGTCGACTCAAAAGAGGTGACTTTTGAGTCTCATCTCGATTCCTATCAGCTGCAAGGAACAGAGTGGTGAAGTGAAGCAGGCAGTACCGCGCTTTTCTCATCCCAACCACATGCACCAAAAGACGTAGAAATTAAATTCCTCCTTGCATACTCCAACGATAACGTGTTTATCTCGATTCCAATCAGAAAAGAAACAGGTTTCGTCACTTGATCTAGTGAAATGTTGAGATCGCGCTCTGCTCGTCACTGTGGGCGTTTTGGAAAAAACTCGCAAAAGACAATTCGAAACCAAAAGACACCAACACACCGCTCCTCTGCTCGCCCTGCTACTGGTCCCAACTGGTTTGCACCACACAAGCCAGCACTGACATCTATCTGAACTACTACATGACATAAACTCGATTTACCTTCTTGGCATGCTTTGCAACGCACAGGCCGGTGGTGCCCCTGCCACAGCACACTTCAAACACCAACACACCACCAATTGCCTCCCCCCTGCTGATGGTGCCACGGTTTACAGCAAACAAGCCAGCACTGAGCTCTATTTAGACTTTCATTTGACATCAGAGCCCCACTGCGTTTACCTTCTTGGCATGCTTTGCAACGCACAGGCCGGAGGTGCCCCTGCCACAGCACACGTCAAACACCAACACTCCGCCCTTCTGCTCGCCCTGCAGCTGGTGCACACAGTTTGCAGCACACAAGCCAACACTGACCTCCATTTGAGCTTCTATGTGACCTCGGCTCAATCTGTGTGTACCTTCTTGGCGTGCTTTGCAACGCACAGGCCGGAGGTGCCCATGCCACAGCACACGTCAAACACCAACACTCCGCCCTTCTGCTCAATCTGTGTGTACCTTCTTGGCGTGCTTTGCAACGCACAGGCCGGAGGTGCCCATGCCACAGCACACGTCAAACACCAACACTCCGCCCTTCTGCTCAATCTGTGTGTACCTTCTTGGCGTGCTTTGCAACGCACAGGCCGGAGGTGCCCATGCCACAGCACACGTCAAACACCAACACTCCGCCCTTCTGCTCAATCTGTGTGTACCTTCTTGGCGTGCTTTGCAACGCACAGGCCGGAGGTGCCCATGCCACAGCACACGTCAAACACCAACACTCCGCCCTTCTGCTCAATCTGTGTGTACCTTCTTGGCGTGCTTTGCAACGCACAGGCCGGAGGTGCCCATGCCACAGCACACGTCAAACACCAACACTCCGCCCTTCTGCTCAATCTGTGTGTACCTTCTTGGCGTGCTTTGCAACACACGTGTAGCGAGGTTGTTTTTGAGACGTCTCAAAAATTTACCTTCTTGGCGTGCTTTGCAACGCACAGGCCGATGGTGCCCGTGCCACAGCACACGTCAAACACCAACACACTGTTCTTTTCATCGCCTTGCCCCCCTTGTCGCGCCTGCTGCTGCTGCTCCTGCTCTTGCTCTTGCTGTTGCTGCTGTTGCTGCTCCTGCCCACGCTGCTGTTGCTGCCCCTGTTCCTGCCCCTGCTGCTCCTGCCCCTGCTGCTGCTCCTGCTCCTGCAGCTCCTGCTGTCCCTGCTGCTGTTTCTTGGTCAAGAGGGGAGGGAGCACGGGTGGGGGACAAGGGGGAGGCGGCCCCAAGCCCACCCAGGAAGCAGCGAGCTGATACAGCAGCTGCGCTCCTGCTGAGTTGGTCTGTATGGGGAAAGGGGAGAGTGAAGAGAGCGGGAAGGCAGGGGTGTGTGAGAGAGAGCTGGGGAATGGGGATAAGGAGGCCTCAGGCCCACCCAGGAAGCAGCGAGCTGATACAGCAGCTGCGCTCCTGCTAAGTTGGTCTGATGGGAATGAAAGGGAGAAACAGGTGAGGTGGACGACAAGGGTGAGGGAGAGTTGAACCAGGGCAGCTGATTAGTACTGGTGGGAATACGAAACAAGAAAAACAGGCGGCCACGGCGTTACAATGAGAGAGAAGGCATACTGAATGGTCATTCGAGAGTAGCATGTGGCATGTGGCATGTGGCAGGTGGCATGTGGCATGTGGCATGCGGCTTATCACCTGAAAGAAGGATGTGGGTGAAAGGCGGAACTTGAGCCCACACAGATGGTCGTATATGTGTGTGTCACACGCTGCCTCCCTTGCCCCTGCTGCTACTGCTGCTGCTCCTGCTTCTCGCAATGTTGCTTCTGCTCCTCCTGCCTCGGCTGCCTCTCCTGCTGCTGGTGCCGCTGCTGCTACTGCTTCTGCTCCTTCCGCTTCCACTGCTTCTGCTCCTTCTGCTGTTGACTCAAGTGCCTCCCCTTGTAATGCTTCTTCTGCTGACTTTTTCACTTTTCCCTGTGATGTACATGCCTCTTCTTCCGCACCACTAGCTGCTCCATTCCCTGCCATTGTCACTGCTGCCGATGGCTCGATGTGACTAGAGCGAGGGTAGAGCAGGCGGATGGGGCAGCTCTCAGGGGCTGCATTGGACACACCCGAGTGTTCCTGCATGGGGTGAAGTCAGAGGGGAAATTTCTCACTTCCATAATTTCCTTCTATCCTATGGGGCAGCTTTCAGGACACCCAGGTGTTCCTGCAAAGAGATAGGTACAAGTGGAAGATATTCTGAGACGTCTTAAAACGAGGATGGGGCAGCTCTCGGGGGCTGCATTGGACACACCCGAGTGTTCCTGAAAAGAGACAAATGAAGGATGTTGAGAATGAGATATCCTGGGTAGGAGTAACAACGAGATCGAGGGTGAGAGTGAGCGAGAATGAGAACGAGAGTGAGAAAAATGGTGAGAAAGGTGGTGAGAGCGAGAGCGAGAGAGCAGGCATGAGGGTGAGAGTGGAAATGGGAATGAGAGTAACAGCCCCACCTGAACGAGGATGAGAGTGAGAGGCAGTGGAGGGCTGTGCTCCGCTGCTCGTCTTTCAATCTCAGCCGTCAATCTGCTCAGCTCCGCATCCACGGCCGTCCGATCGACACAAGCAGGGTTCACCTGTAGCAGCAGCATCACTTGATTCACTGCCGCCCTGCCACTGTGCCTTGGCCCTTCCCCTTCCCTTGTGTCGATTCTTGTGTCATCCCTTGTGTCATCTTCATCTCTTGTGCCATGATCGTCTTGCTTTTCTGCGGGTGGCTGTCCATCGATTGCTGTTGCTGATTGGTCCACGTCCATCGACGCCACGTCAGCAGCAGCAGGCTCGGGGCGCGAGGTGGCAGTGAGTGGTTCGGCCGTGCCTTCCCTCACCTGCAGTTGAAGTGGATGCAGGGAGGACAAAGAGAGAGAGAGAGAGAGTGAGAGAACACATCAAGCGACACATTTTTTTAGGCGCCTCAAAAATCAACTGCAGTTGAAGTGGATGAAACGAAACAAAGAGAGAGAGAGAGAGAGAGAAGCAAGTGACTTAGTCTCTTCCCTCCTAGGCTCTTCCCCTCTCTTCCCCAACTATATAAGGGCCCCTTGGCCTTCTCTCCAGCTCATTCTTCATTTGGTGTCTCTGATTTTTCCGGCGCTTCGCGCCGGCGCTCGCGGGCGCGGCCTGCGGCCGCGCGCTTGGGACGACAAGGACAATAACAAGGACGGCTAGATGACGGCAAAAATGACAACCATGGCAGACAACGACAACTAGACAAGCTACCATGGAACGGGTCTACACACGCGCGAGGGGGCCGCCTACATGCGGTCCGCCTCAAGCTCACCAAGCATTTCGCGCGTGGTCAGCCACATCTGGCGGACCACTGACGCGGTGGCGCCGACAACGTCAACAGGAGTTCCACGAGTTGCTACAAGGGTCCTCAGACCCAGGGCCGTCTCAGCCAGCAGGGTGGCCGAGACTACTCCCGGCGAGGGCGCGACCTGCAGTGGCGATACGAACGAGAATAATGCTGACGCCGCCGCGTGACACCTTGCTCGCGGCATCTGAGAGAACGTGCTCGGCGGGGTCTCCAACATGGAGCCATGCGACTCCTGGAGAATCAGCTCAAGACTCTGCAGGCACTCCGCCAACGACCACAAGTGCGCCAGGGTCGCCGTGGGCACTGGCTTCATCTGCGGGGGGAATGCAGACGCGCGAGATCGGCGAGCCGACACTGCCAGATCACGAGGAGCAGGGAGGGGACGTGGCGGAGCGAACTGGGCCCACGGGTCCCCGCCACCCGCGCCAACAAAGCCAGTCCCCGCAGGCAGCGGACGAACTGAGCGCGCCGGGGATCCCACAGGATTATGGGGCAGGAGCGCGGCGAGAGGAGCGACTGGAGCAGCAGGAGGAGCAGATTGCGAGGACGACCCCGCATGGGAGCGGTGGAGAGCTTTCTCCACACCGTCCAATTTCTTCAGGACTTGCTCCATCGCGGAAGGCGCTGGACGCGCAGCCTCGCCGCGACCGTAACCCCCCCGTCGCCCACGATGCGCACGCCCACTCGCGCTCGAACGCACAGGCGACTGTGGGCGAGACAGGCCCCGCTGACGCTGGCGGTCAGAGGAACGCTCCGTGCGACGAGGAGAGTAGAGCCGCTGGCGCTTCGCAAGAGGGGGAGAACGTGGCGCCAAGGACCGATATCCAGACGCATGACGAGCAGGCGATCGCGGACGAGAGGAGCGGGGAGCGGGAGAACGGTGGCGATACGAGCGGTGGTCACGGGAACGGCTCCGTGACACCTTGCGCCGAGGAGATCGAGGAGACCGCGGTGATCGCGGAGACCGCGGCGGGCGCGAGTCAGCGCGACGGTCGTCGTGGCGGCTCTCCCGCCTACCGTCGCGGGCCACCGGCGAACGATGGCGAGGCGAATGCCCCCGGTGCGCCACAGCCTCTGCGCCGGAGCGCGCGCCGGACCCCACACGCGCAGGCTCCCCCAGAGGCGAGGATCCGCCTCCGAGCAGACCCAGATCCCGACGCTGATCCTCAAAACGCCGACGGATCTCGTCCGCAGCCGCCGGCGGAGCAACAGGCACGCTCGCGGCAGGACGCGCGGGAGGAAGTGGACGGGGAGCAGGATCAACCTCCACGGCGCGGTCACAGCCCAGAGCACCGAGGAAGTCCATCGGCCTCCGCTCTAGGCGCGCCACTGGCCCGGGACGGGCCGATGACCCCGATCTCCCAGGCGCAACAGGCCGCACCAGCGGCCGCCACTCCGAGGAGCGGGCGGGGAAGCACGCGGGGAAGAGGCGGGCGTCGAGGAGCACGCGGAGTACAGCGCAGCGCAGGCCACGCGGCAAGGGGGAACCCCCGCCAGCCACCGAGCCCAATCTGGTTAGGGGAGCCGGCGGAACGAGTCACGCGCCAGTCGTTCGCCAGGCGCGGGGCGAGGGGTGGAAGGACAGCGCAAGCAGGGAGAAACGGCGATACAAATGCAGAGGGGAGTGGCGACGAATATGTATCGTCGGATCTGAGGCAACCCGACAATCCCGACTCACCCCGCGCGGGAGCAGGGGCGGAGCAGGCGCAGCTGCAGGAGAGAGGATTGGGCCGCCGACAGAACCGCAGACCCCAACCCCCCCCGGACCAGGCCCTCTCAGCATCCCAGCTGGCATCGAGGGACGATCTCTTTGAGATCGCGATGAGCTGGGACTTGTCTACCCTAACATCGACCTCTCACCTGCCTATCGTCCGCCGCCTGCCGCCGCAGATCCTAAGCGACTATTCCACCTGTATGCTGGCAGCGCTCCTACGGATCTCCAAGCTGCCAAACTGCGCGGGAGCTTGGCGGGTCCTCATGTTTCTGCCACGTCTGACCCTACGACTTAGCAGGAGGTCCAGCTCTAGGTGGAAGGTGCTGCGAGAACAAATGCACCTATTCAGATGTGGCCACTGGAACCAGCTGTACAGTGACTACACGGGGTCCCTGCACCAAGCCGAACCACCTCAGCACCAAAATGACCCCCTGGGAATCTGCTCACGAGCGGAGGGGCTGGTGAAACGGGGTAACCTGCGAAAAGCACTTGCAGCCCTCCAACCCTCGCCAGCAGCCCCTGCGACAACCGCGACACTACAGCAGTTGGAATCGAAACATCCCCGACCCCAAATTGACCTGCCCGACTGGGTCCACTCCTACACAACACCCACGCAATTTTCGTGCACCGCGGAAAACTTCTCAAACGTTCTTGGGGATTGCCCCAGCGGTGTTGGGGCTGGTCCATCTGGGTCAACATTTGAACATTACCGCGACCCAGCCCTAAGTAACATCGAAGTACTAGGGCACCTGCACTCCGCCGTAACCCACCTCCTCTCGACAAACCTCTCCGCCGAGGTTGCAGCACTACTCTCACCATCCCGCCTCATTGCATTCGCAAAACCAGGGGGGGGGGGTACGCCCTATAGCGATAGGAGAATCCCTGCTCCGGCTGGCAGCAAAGGTTGCACTCTCAGAACTGCAAGGAGAAACAAGGCGGTTTTTCTTACCCCAACAATTCGGCGTGGCAGTCCCAGGCGGGGCCGAGTTCGTTATCCACGCAGTCAGAGACCTCACCACTTCACATCCATCAAGCCTAGTCCTCCAACTCGACATCGAAAACGCATTCAACTCCGTAGAGAGGATAGCGTTCTTTAACGCACTCACCAACACCCCGCTCGCCCCACTCATTCCCTTCACACGCTCCTTCTATGCGACGCCTTCACAGCTGCTGACCGATCCCCGCTTAAGCACAACGGCACTCACCAGTGCTAGGGGAGTTAGGCAGGGGGACCCCCTTGGACCCCTTCTATTCGCGGCTTCAATCCAGCAGCACCTCAGACGCGTAGCAACAAAACACCCCGAAGTCACAGTCCTAGCATACGCAGATGACATCACCCTGATTGGACCGGCGACAGCAACGCTAGACGCACTAAAGGTACTGACACCGCTGCTAGCCCAGGACGGCCTCACCTGCAACCTCCGAAAATCGTCGGCCTGGTCCTCCTCGCCGATCGAAGGTAATGAGCTCCCTGCGGGCCTTCCCCTCACCCACGAGGGGGTACGGGTGCTAGGAAGCCCTGTGGGGTCACAGCGCTTCTGCGCTGACCTCGTCCGCAGCACCTTGACTGACGCGGCGGCAGCCCTGGGCTCCTTAGCATCCATCCATCCACAGCATACCCTCCTGCTCCTATCTCGCTGCATCAGCCGCAGAATAGGCTACCTGCTGCGCACCACTCCGGCAGACGCCCTACCTCTCTCAGAATGGCATACGTGGTGCGCCGAACTGCTCAACACTGCCTTAACCGCCGCCAGCATCCAACCACCCCGCCATGACACAGAGTTCAACTTCCTACTTCGCCAAGCAACCCTCCCAGTAGCCCTGGGTGGGCTAGGCCTCACGGACCCCACAACAGAAGCAGCACCAGCCTACCTGGCTTCGACAACAGAGGCGCTACGCCTACTCCGCTCACTTGACCTCCCAGGAACCTCGGCGCTAGGGAGTAACAGCAACGCTCTACAGCCGTCGGCAGCACACTCGGTCACCATCCAAGACATGGAGGGACGACTGCCACCACTGGCACTGCAAATCCTCCGCGGGGAACAGGAATCCCCGTCCCAAGACCAGCTGCAGCGCGCCCTCTCCCAGGAAGTACATGCGGCAAAAGCCGACGGCCTGACAGAGGAATCACGCGCAATCAGGTCTGCCCCCGAGATGGGGCACACACTCCGCCTCGTCAGCCTGAGAGGTGAGGGAGCGGGGGCATGGCTGCAGGCCCTACCCCTAACCCCAGACCTCTGCTTTTCACCAGGGCAATTCCGAACAGCCCTGGCCTTCCGCATGGGCATCCGACAGAACGTGCCCACCGTGTGCGAGTGTGGAGAGCTCGTAGCCGACTGCAGCATCCCCAACCACTTACTCCGCTGCAGCACAGGCCCTGACCGAACACGCACACACAACCAGCTGGCTTTCGCCGTGGCTAAAATGGCGAGGGAGGCACAGCTGGTGGTATACCTGGAGAACGCGATGTACTCACCACCGGATGACCCGAAGAAGGCAGATGTGATTGTACGCGACCCAGACAGTGGTGAAACTTGGATCACAGACACGACCATCACTGACCCCGTGCTACAGAACCGTGACCCAGCAGCCCGCAAACCCCCTGGATGGGCTGCAAGGGAGGCCCAGAAAAGGAAGGAACGGGACTACTACAGGCACACAGAACACGTGGTGTTCTGCGCCCTAGCCGTTGAGACCTATGGGGCAAACGCACCCCCCACGACGGCGTTCCTGAAGCTGCTGGCCACAGCAGCAGCTAGGAACCGCTTCAGGGCCAATCCCTTGGCGAAAACCGCCAAGAAAATGGCCTGCCACTTCAGCCAGCGCTGGTCAGTGGCCCTCCAGCGCTCTCAAGCGAATGCCCTGCACACCAAGGCCAGGGCAGGGATCGAGGCGGCGCACCCCCAGATGGCAGCAGACCCATGGCCGCTGCACCTGGGGGACATCCTCCACACGCTGGAGGGGTAGAGGGTCACTGAGGGGGGGGGGAGGGTCAGAGGGATGGGCCAATGGGGCAGAGGGTCTAAAGGGAACCACAAATCAAACCGTATGCTTGTACCGCCGCTGAATTAATACAAAGGACCATTTGAGAGAGCACACATAAAAAACAATGCAACACAACTTAGACGGCCGCATGAGTCGCGTTTCTGCTTCCCCCCACCAACCCTCACCCTCACGCCGTGTCGAATTACCTCCGTCCCTTCCATCCCCACTCTTCTCCTTTCATCTAACCCCCTCAAAAAAACCACCCCTCTACCCACCGTGAGCAATTACCAAAAGCCCCGGTTGTTGACCTTGTCCCATCAAGCCAGAAGAGAGCCCTGCATGCAGCACCCCCTTACCAACCCCCCCTCCCACACCGACCCCCCCTCACTTCCCCCACCTACCGTGAGCAATCACCAGAAGCCCCGGTTGTTGACCTTGTCCCATTCGGCCAGGGGGAATCCCCGCACCACCCACAGCATACCACCCGCTACACCCACCCATTCACCCACCCACCCCTCCACATGTACCTACCCATCCACCCACCCACCGTGAGCAAGCGCCAGAAGCCCCGGTTGTTGACCTTGTCCCATGCAGCTAAGGGTGATTCTCGCACCACGTCCTGAACCAGGCGTGCAAAGGCGATGGCTACGGGGGAGATGTTTCGACAGCCTGACGGCTCTGCCACTGCTGTCACCCCATCGCTGGAGGGAGGGGGGGGAGAGAGGGACGGCAGGAAGGAGCAGCGTGGGCAGCGGCATGTTTGACTCGAGCCCCTCACCACCCGGGGTGCACCAGGCGTGCAAAGGCGATGGCAATGGGGGAGATGTTTCTACAGCCTGACGGCTCTGCCACTGCTGTCACTCCATCCCTGGGGGTGGGGGAGAGAGAGGGAAGGGGGGAAGGAACAGGGTGGGATGGGGTGGGTGTGACTTGCGTGCATCAGCTGTGCAAAGGCGATGGCGATGGGGGAGATGTTTCGACACCCTGACGGCTCTGCCACTGCTGTCACTCCATCGCTGGGGAAAAAAAACGGGAAAACGAATGAGGAAAGGAGCAAGAGGTAAAGAACAAAGAGTGAGAGATAGCGGTGCAAAGGCGAGGAGGGGAGCGGAATGGGAGGAGGGAGCTAATTGCTGGGGTAGCCTTGGTTTGATTTAACACCAAGGCTACCCCAACAATCAGCTCCCTCCTCACCAACCACTGCAGCCGGCGTGAAAAAACGATGTAACAGAAAGGACTGTCGGCAATGCTGAGACAAGACGAAACATGCTCTCAGAGATTTTTTTTGTTTTGTTTGTTGGTTTGTTTTGAAATTCATTTATTTATTTATTTTTATTATCCTGACTGGCTCTGCAAACGCTGCACCTACCCACACCCATTTCTCACCGGAAATTTCCGAGAAGGAACCCGATGGTGGGCTGACTAGCAGCAGAGGGCCCAATGGAGAATTCACACTTGTTGCGATAACCGTCCACCACTGGTGAGGCGTAAATTCCTTCAAACACACAAGGAAGGTGGGCTGTTGGGACATGGAAAGCAAGGGAAAAAGGGGTGGGGGGAAGAGGGTATGGCAAACAGCGGAGGGCCCAATGGAGAACTTGCACCTGTTGGGATAACCGTCCACCACAGGGGAGGCGTAGATTCCCTCAAAGCTGCACGGAAGGTGGGCTGTGTGGGGCCAGGGAGGACAAGGGTGGAAGGGATGTGTCCTGACCAGCAGCGAGGGCCCAACGGAAAATTCACACACTGGGGTGGGGAGGGGAGGTGTGGATCCCTTCACACAGGGAGGGGAGGCGTAGATTCACACACTGGGGTGGGGAGGGGAGGTGTGGATCCCTTCGCACACGCAGGGGAGGTGGGCTGTGGGGGGTGCAGAGAAGAAAGACAGGGGGAGGGGATGTGGTATGGCAAGCAGAGGCGGGGCCAGTGGAGAACTTGCACTTACTCATCTTTTCATGCCCCTTGCTCACCTCTCGCTTCAGCAGACTTGATCCAATCAGGCAGTTGGGAAAAGCTCTTTCTCGATCTCGGTCTCAAGTACAGCTTCCTCATCTTGGTCACCCATCTTGATCCAATCACCCACTGCAGCTCCTTCGCCACACCCTCACCTTCTCATGCCCCTCCCTCACCTTCTTTTTTTTTTTTTTTTTTTTTGGGCTTTAAGGAGATCCCCGGAGGAAACCAACCCTCACCTTCTCATGTCCCTCCCTCACCTTTTCATGCCCCTCTTCATACCTCTCCCTTTAGCAGTTTTGATCCATTCAGGCAGCTGAGCAAAGCTCTTTCGCGAGTACAGCTTCCTCATCTTGGTCACAATGCGCTGCAGATCCTTCGCCACTCGCCCTCCCTTCATCTCCAACTGATCCCGATACCCCATCTTTGCCAGTGGTGTCACCGCCTCCCACGCCTCCTTCTTCACTCTCCCCTCCGCTTTCTCCCCTCCTCTCTCTCCTCCTGTGCCTCCCTCTTCCCCATCCTCTCCTTCCCTATCCATCTCTTCCGTTTCCTCCTCATCCTCACCCTCCCCACCTTTCTCGCCCTCCTCTTTCCCACCACCTTCCCCTGCGTCCCCCATTCCTTCCCCCTCCGTTCTTCTCTTCTTGTCCTCATGCCCCTCGCCGCCCTCCTGGGCGGCAAAAGCCGTCTGTTTCTGAGTGCGGTACCGTGCCGGCTGCACGTCTAGCATCTGGTTTTTCACCAGCTTGCCGTTCAATAGCTGTGGGGATGCAAGAGCGGGCAGGGGAGGGTGGGTGGAGGAGGGAGAGCAGAGGAGGGGTGTTTGTGAAGGGGCCCTAGTACCGTGCCAGCTGCACGTCTAGCATCTTGTTCTTCACCAGCTTGCCGTGCAACAGCTGCAGGAGAGAGGAGTGGGGTTGGGTGTGAGGGGTTTTTGTCGGAGTGGGTATGTTTGGTTTTGAGACGTCTCAAAACTATGTTTGGTATGACTTGCGGTACACATTGTGGTGGTTGCCACATCGCTTGCACGTCCAGCATCTGGTTCCTCACTGCCTTGCCATGCAGCAACTGCTGTAGTGGGAAGGTGGGGTTGGGTGTGGGGGTATGAGGGGTGGGGTTGTGGATGAGTATGTTTGTCATGTGCCTTATATACCACCCTGGTTGTCGGTCCAGCGATTGGGTGCTCACTGCCTTCCCATGCAGCAGTTGTGAGCATGGGGGTGGGGGATGGAGACGGGGGGAGTGGGGGTGGGGTTGGGTTGGGGTGGAGGGAAGGGAGAGGCGTGTTGGGTGTGATGTGCCTTGTTGGGTGTGATGTGCCCGGCATCTTACCCCTCCTCACCCGCTTACCCCTCCTCACCTGCTTACCCCTCCTCACCCGCTTACCCCTCCTCACCCGCTTACCCCTCCTCACCCGCTTACCCCTCCTCACCCGCTTACCCCTCCTCACCCGCTTACCCCTCCTCACCCGCTTACCCCTCCTCACCCGCTTACCCCTCCTCACCCGCTTACCCCTCCTCACCCGCTTACCCCCCCTCACCTGCCTTCCCCTCCTCACCCGCCGACCTCCTCACCTTTACTCCACTCACCCCATGAATCCCCCTTTTCACCTGCTCCCCCACTCTAGCCTGCTTCCCCTGCCCACCTGAGTGGCCTTGTCTGCTGCGGCAGCTGACTCAAACGACACGAATCCAAACGCCACGCCCTGGCTTTTCCTCGACCCGCAATAGTCCAAACTCTGCCGCCCACCAAAGAGCCCCAGAATAACAGGTCAAGGGATCAGGAACACGCCCTTGGTTGGGAACCTGAGGATGCAAAAAGGATTTCGAAGGAGCACTGAGTTGTGGAGTGCAAGTGTGGAGACCATCAGGGTTTAGCGAGGGAAGGTTTAGCGAATCAGGGGTTTAGCTTGGGTTGGAGGGTTCGTTCTCGCTCTGCCTTGCAATTTAGTCGCACCATTTCGTTTAGTATTTCGCGAAAGTGCTTCACATTCCACCACTTGGGTAGGTTCTGCACGCAAAGCCTACTCCACTCGCCCTCCCCCCCTGCCCCCCCTTCCTTCCCCTCGTCCCCGCCACCCTCTGCTTCTTCCGCCTCTCTCCCCCAAGACCCTCCCCCTCCGCGTTTCCTCCCCCTATTCCTCCCCTTATTGCTCTGATCCCCTTCCCCTGCTTCGCTCCGCTTAGCTCCTCCGCGCGCGGAAGTGGGGTCAAACGACCCGTCTGGGCGCGCGCGCAGCTCCGCCTCCCCGTGCGCGAACTTGCACCGCGCGCCGTGCTTGCACTCCCCGTGCTTGCGGAAGAACGAGCACAGAGTCGTCTTCCACATCGCCCCCCCTCCGCCGTCCGCGGATGCTGCACCCCCCGCCGCTACAGCCGCACCCCCCGCCACTACAGCCGCAACCTCCGCCGCTACAGCCGCTACAACCTCTGCAGGCGGCACGGCCGCTACTGGGGTTTCCGCCTGCTTTCCGCCGTCCGCGGGAGCTGCTGCATTTTCCGCTGGCGGAGCCGCTGCTTCCGGAGCTGCCGCAACGTCAGCTGACAGATCAGGGACCGTTAGGTCAGCGCCAGGTGCAGCGGGTGTATTCCCCGCAATTGGTGGAGTTTCCGCGGAAGCTATAGAAGAGGTAACGGCGGAACCTGGGGGAGAGGACCCCATTGCTGACGTGGAAGTGCGAGCTAGTACCTTTTATGCAGGTTATAAACAAGCTGCTCTCAACAAAAGTCTTAACTAATGGGTTAGCAGCAGTATGATAAACGGGTAATACATCAATCTAACGGGTTTCGGGTTTTCCCCCTAAACCCGAAATCAGCACAGGAAAATGAAACGGTGAGAAATCCAAGTTCCATGGCAACTTTGAAACCAGTCGCGTGGCATTTTTCTGTCAGTTGTGGTTACCAGTCCCAAATTTTCGTTCGCATTCCGACAGCCCAGGTGGGCTTGAATCCCGATGAGGGCGAAAGCTGGTTACTTCCTGTCACGAAGAATTGGTGGGAATTTTATTTCGCCAGCCAAAGGGATGCTGACGCATCCCTTCCTGAACTACATAACTTTCAACTAGGGTGATGTCAGATTTGGCGCGAGGCCGTGGTGTCAGGTTGAACGCACCTAGAGGTTACCCCGTTTCAAAACGTATTGTTTCACACCGCACCTCTCGGTTCGCTTTCTCACATTTCTACTCGTAACGCGTCGCGGTAGGGTGAAGTAAAGCCCACATGCCGTCTCACGCGCTTGCCGCACCGCTCATCGCGCAATCCGCCGCGTATAGTATCTCCCTTAGTAGCCTCGCGCGGAGACGCACGAGTAGGGTGCTCCCAAGTTGCGGCGCGCGTATTTCCGCACTTGATGATCCTCCTCGACATTCCCCTCAGAACCTTCGCTCTCATCGTTTAGTGGACAAACGGTTTCTGTTCTCCACTCAAACGCCACCAGAGCTTCGTTTCCGAACGCCGTCTATCCTCGTCTCAGCCTTCCCCGATAAGGCTACCCCGTCACTGAACTCGCGTAACGAAAGCGGGCTAGTCGGAATGGCTTCAGCAGTCTTGTCGGAGAACACACCGTCGAGCCGCGAGTCGACTCGACCAACGGCCGACTCGTCGTCCCGGCGTCGGCGGCTCGACGTCGCCGTGATCGGCGCAGGCGCCGCGGGACTGGCCGCTGCGCGCGAGCTAATGCGAGAGGGGCACGCCGTGACTGTGATTGAAGCGGGGGGTGAGATAGGCGGCGTGTGGGCTTATGACGAGCGGATAGAAACGGAGGATCTGTTAGGGTTGGATCCGAACCGGCAGCAAGTCCATAGCAGCATGTACGCGTCGCTACGGACGAATTTACCCCGAGAATTAATGGGCTATTTAGACTTTCCCTTCTCCGCGCCTTTACCTGGCGATCGTCCCGATGCCGACGCAGACCCTTGCGGTGAAACCAGCGCGGATTCGCGACGAGATGACGCCGATGTGCGACGGTTTCCGTCGCACAGGGAGGTGCTGCGATATCTCTGCAGGTACTCGGATCGATTCGGGATCTCGAATCGCGTCGAGCTCCACAGTAGAGTAATCTCGGCCGTCCCTGTGATTTCCCGCCAAGCAGCCGTTGAAGAAAGCGGGGAAGGCGGAAGGAAAGGGGGAGGCGGCGCAGAGGTGGGGAATGGAGCGGAAGCGGAAACCAGCCAAGCGGAAGGTTGGGATATCCTAGAGATTGCCGCGGAAGGGGTTGATACTCCTGTTGTGAGATGGCGTCTTAAGATTGCTCGGTCTAGAACGCATAGGAGTATGAGTGCGGATAGAGGGAGTTTAGGAGGTTCGGCAGGTGCAGCAGGAAGGGTTGGGGATGGGGAGAGGGTGGAAGGGAGGGAGGAAGGGAGAAAGGAGGAGAAGGAGGTAGGGAGGGAGGAAGGGGAGGAGGAGAGGGAGTTTGATGCATTGGTGGTGTGTAGCGGTCACTATTCGCAGCCCAAGATTGCAAGTATAGCGGGTGAGACTGTAACGGGGGGCAGGTTCGTTACCAAGTGGTGGATAGTGGGTGGGTGGGTGAGTGAGTGAGTGTGAGAGTGAGTGAGTGAGTGTGAGAGTGGGTAGTTGAGACAGTCAGTTGGCTAGTTACGCTAGTCCCTGTGTGCGGAAGAGTGGATAAATAACTCCCCTGAATGAAGGAGAGAGGGGTGCAGATCTCACCCTCCTCTTTAACTCCCCCATGCTTTTCTTCCCTGATTTCTGTATCCCAACCAATCAGGTGTGGACACGTGGCCAGGCATTCAGATACACAGCCATAACTACCGCCGCCCAGAGGGGTTTGCAGGCAAGGTGAGGCGAGAGGGGCTTGCAGGCAAGGTGTCTCTTCTCTTTGTCTCTTCTCTTTGTCTCTTCTCTTTGTCTCTTCTCTTGGTCTCTTCTCTTTCTCTCTTCTCTTTGTCTCTTCTCTTTTTCTCTTCTCTTGGTCTCTTCTCTTTCTCTCTTCTCTTTGTCTCTTCTCTTTTTCTCTTCTCTTTGTCTCTTCTCTTCTTCTCTTCTCTTTGTCTCTTCTCTTTGTCCCTTTTTCTCTTCTCTTTTGTCTTCTCTTTTTCTCTTCTCTTTGTCTCTTCTCTTTTTCTCTTCTCTTTGTCTCTTCTCTTTTTTCTCTTCTCTTTTTCTCTTCTCTTTTGTCTCCATAACAGAGGAAGACAGGCTCCTTTAACTTGCCGTCTCTGTTGCTCGTTTGCATGCCTGATTCTCCATGCCTTCCCAGGTGATGGTGGTGGTGGGAGCAGAGGCGAGTGGGCAGGACATAGCAAGGGAGCTAGCGGCAGTCGCACGAGAGGTGCACATCTGTGCGCGAGGCTGGCGCTCCCCCCCTGCTGCTGCTGCTGCTGCTGCTGGTGGGACGAGTGGTGCTGGTATTGCTGCTGGGGCGGCCACTGGGGCAATAGAGACGGGGTATTTCGAGGATCTTAATGGCAGAGTGCAGCAGCACCCCATGGTTAGTAGCTGTGGCCGCACCGCACATACTTCTCTCCCCCTTAGCTACCTCCTCGACTTACCTGCTCTGACCTTCAGCAATAGAGACGGGGTATTTTGAGGATCTCAAGGGCAGAAGAGTGCAGCAGCACCCCATGGTTAGTAGTACCCCCACCTCGCACCCTGCTCTCCCCTTTAGCTGCTCTCGCCCTTACCTGGAGGTGTTGCTGCTGCTGCTGGTGGTGCTGCCACTGGGGCAATAGAGACGGGGTATTTCGAGGATCTTAAAGGCAGAGTGCAGCAGCACCCCATGGTTAGTAACCTTCACGCACGCACCCTGCTTTCGCCCTCAGCTGCTCTCGCCCTTAGCTGCTTTCGCCCTTAGCTGCTCTCGCCCTTAGCTGGAGGTGCTGCTGCTGGTAGTGCAGCCACGGGAGCAATAGAGACGGACTGGGCACTTGGAGGATCTGAAAGGCAGAGTGCAGCAGCACCCCATGGTGAGTAACCTTCACGCACGCACACCCTTAGCTGCTCTGCCTGGACCTCCTCTGCTTCACCTGCTCTTTTACCCAGTGTTCACTTATCCAGGGGTTCTTTGAATGTGCAGACTTTTGAGTCGACTCAAAAGTCTCCTCTGCTTCACCTGCTCTGTTACCCAGTGTTCCCTTATCCAGGGGTTCGTTTTTGAGTCGACTCAAAAACAGGTTCACCTGCTCTTTTATCCAGTGTTCACTTATCCAGTGTTCACTTATCCAGTGTTCACTTATCCAGTGTTCACTTATCCAGTGTTCACTTATCCAGGGGTTCTTTGAATGTGCAGGTGGGAGGAGCTGCCTCTTTTTCCTCTCCTGATTTTCTTAGGCGCCTCAAGGATTCCTCCCACCCCCACTTCTTTCTGCCCCTTCCGCCGTTTCTGCACCTTCTGCCCCGTCTGCCCCTCCCTTCCCCCCCTTCCGCCCCTTCCGCCCCTTCCGCCCCTTCACCCCCTTCCGCCCCTTCCGCCCCTTCCCCACCTTCTGCCCCTTCTGCCCCTTCCGCCCCTTCCGTCCCTTCCGCCCCTTCCCCCCCTCCCCCCCTACCGCCCCTTCCGCCCCACTGCACTCGAGCGCAGATCAAGCAAGCCAACACAGATGGGACGGTGGAGTTTGAAGATGGATTCACATGCCATGCTGACGTCATCATGCACTGCACCGGGTGTGTGTCTGTGCCTGTGCTGACATCACATGGACTCACTCTTGCCCACTCCATGTGCACTAGGGTGCTTTGATACGTGTCATAAGCAGTTTTTGATACTCCAGTTTTTTCCCAACCCTTCCCCCGCGTTCACCCCGTCTGTCCCCTCATCTTCCCACCTCGCCCCACCCATTCTCCCCCCCGTCTCTCCCCACCAACGCAACTACTACTACTACCCTTCCTCTTCCTCGCCCCCCCCCCTTCCACCCTCCCCTCCATCAACAACTGTCGTGTAACTTCCCTGTCCCCTCATCTTGCCCCTTCCTGCGCCCCCCTTCCCCCCATGCAGCTACAACTACTCCTTCCCGTTCCTCGCCCTCCCCCCCTCCCTCCTCTCCGTCGATACCGGTCGTGTGGCTCCCCTCTTCCGCCACGTCCTCCCTCCTGCACTCGCCCCCTCGCTCTCCTTCATCGGCCTCCCCTGGAAGGTAAATCTCTTCTCCTCTCTTGTTCTTGCATGGTCCTTTCAATCATTTTCTACTGAATAATACAGGGTACTATTCTCTCTAGTTTTGAGACGTCTCAAAACTAATACAGGGTATTATTCTCTCTTCAAGCACTCGCCCCCTCGCTCTCCTTCATCGGCCTCCCCTGGAAGGTACTTTTCATTTACCCCCTCCCCCCTCCTCTCCCCACCCCCCCCCGCCCTTTCCCCTCTCTTCCCCCTCCCTTCCCCTCCGTGCCCTCCCCAGGTCGTCCCGTTCCCACTGTCCCAGCTGCAGGAGCGATGGGTGGTACAGCAATTCATACCTGCTTCAACTTCCCCTTTTCTTCCAACCCCGTCCCCTTCTCCTCCCCCCTTTCCCACCCGCCAGGTAGTCCCTTTCCCGCTGTGTCAGCTCCAGGCACGGTTGGTGGCGCAGCTGCTGTCCGGCCAGCTGCCCGTGCCGCCCAGATCCGATATGGAGGACGGCGTGCGGCATCTTTATGCGCGCATGGAAGAGCAGGGCATGCCTGAGAGATACGCCCACAGGCTGGATATGGAACAGGTAAGAGGGGGGGAGGTGCGATGCGACCTGGAGCAGGTACGACCTGAAACAGCAGGTGCGGGCTGGAACAGCAGGTGCGGGCTGGAACAGGTACACCCCACCTCACCAGTTCCCCTACATGGACAGCCTCAACACGGACTGTGGGGGCTCTCCTCAACCAGAGTGGCAGCGGGGGATGTATGAAGCTCATGCTATCTCGATGCTATTTCCATGTGTTCCTCTTTAATTTTGAATCCCACCCACCACATCCCACCACACCGCACCACATCCCAATGCATCCCATCACACCCCACCTCACCAGTTCCCCTACATGGACAGTCTCAGCGCAGACTGTGGAGGCCCACCTCTGCCAGCATGGCGGAGGGAGATGTACGAAGCGGTGAGGCGGCTGAAGAAGGCCTTTCCAGGGTCGTACCGAGACGAGTGGGTGGAGTGGGATCTGGTGGCTGCTGCTCATGAAGAGTTTGAGGGCTTGTTACAGGAGTTGCCAGGCACTGCATGTGACTTCTGACTGAGGTGGCTGAAGAATGCATTCCCAGGGTCGTACCGCGACGAGTGGGTGGAGTGGAACCTGGTGGCTGCTGCTCATGGGGAATTGTTGCAGGAGTTGCCAAGCACTACGGTTGATGGGGACGAGGTGTGACTGGTGTACGCCTTGACCTTTCCGTCAAACCTCTTTTCCTAAAGAAGTAGCCTTGATGTTGACTGTGGCAGCGGGAGGTGTACGAAGCGATGCAGCAATGGAAGAGGGCCTTTCATGCCATCGATGCCACTCGCTTGGTGCAACAAGCCTTATATGGTATATGAGAATATTGTTAGACTACAGCAAGTGCAGGAGCGTATGGATGGCTGGAGGCATTGTGTAAATTGTTGAGATAATATCGAGACTTAAGCACTTCAAGGAATTCATGTAGTGCAGTTAGTACAGTGCGAGACTTCGCACGTAATAGTAAAGTACCGATAGGATGACGTCAGCAAAGCGCTACGCGCCCTAGGATGACGTCAGCACGTAGCTATAGGCCTCGCAAATAGTCATGTACCGTTTCAGAACACGAATAGCGTGAATAGCACAGTACAGTATGCGAATAGGTACTTTACTCTAGCTATATATTCTGTATGTTTGTCATTTTATAATATATCTGATTTCAGAGACATAGATCCTGAAACATATCACTACATTGGCTTATATTAGTCCAGACAAAGTTTCTTACACTGGCTTTAACTCATACAAAGACTTCCGCTACGACAGGGAGCTATCATCCTAAGTATACGATCCTACACAATCACTTCAAATTCTAACATGGTATTGCGAGCGTCTTAGGATTCTACAAGCTTCCAACTACATACTCTGCAACTATGTCTGGCTCTCCACGATCCAACAACGGCTCTTCTGTTACGAGCCCATCACGCCCAACAGCGTCTCCAACTGCTGACAATTCTCATCTGCAGCAACAACAATATCAGCAACAACCAATGTATGGCATGCCACTGAGCAATCAGTCCGTACACACAACCGCAGCAGTAGCATCATCGGCAGCAGCCGCAGCAACAGCAGCATCAGCAGCCACAACAGCTGCAGCTGCAGTAACTGGTTCTACTAATCAACCAGGATAACAGTCTAGTTTCGTACCGACTGGACCATATCAATATCAAGGGGCTTACCAGCCAACAAAGCTTCAACAGCGTGTTAATGCTGCCGTCTTGTCACTTAACCAGATGTTTCCAACTCCTATGAGTCTTGATGGCTTCAGCTATCAGCATGGACAGATGCCACAAGGGAGCGACGGGTCGAACAACTCCTTCTCTTTTGTTCCTGCTGGACAACGACAACAAGCACTACAAGGGTCACAGATGCCATCACTTTATCAGTTACAGTCAGCTGACGGCACCAGAAACTATCTTCCTGCTACTTCAAACCCAACAAAGATTAAAACGACAATGCCATTTAACGGTCAAGATTTTTATACCTGGAGTTTCGAATTCGAGCTTCTTGTTCAAACTGCGGGATTCTGGCAATTGTTCGACGGTACAACACCCTTTCCATCTCACGGCACACCACTTCAACAGGCCACTTTTCGATCGGCGTCGCTGACTGCATACACAGTTCTCATTCGTAATATGACACCGACTGAACAGCATGGTATTCGTCCTTTTCGTACCAGTACCGCTCCTGCTGAAGCAGCTTGGTTATACCTGCAAGGAGTTTACACGGCAAAGGACACCGTCAACCATAGTAAAATCTTAACGCAGCTTTCAAATATACAGATGATAAATGGCGAGAAGGTGACGCAGTATATCAACCGCGCTCAAAATCTGCGCGACCAGCTTCAGAAGTGTGGAGGATACTTCCCCAACGCTATGTTTCACACGGTGCTACTCGCGGGTCTTGGACCAGAATGGAGGCAGTGTCGCTCTATTCTTCGCATGCAAGCAACGTTGTCTGAGGGGGCACTCTGTGCCGCTCTCATCGCCGAGCAGCAGGATATGGACCTACACAACGCTCGAGGAGGGAAAAAGGTGGTTAATAACACAGTCAGATTTTATTATACTCCACGTCACAAGCCCGTTTGTTCCTTTTGCCGTAAAGTAGGTCATACTATCGATACCTGCTGGTCGAAGGATAAACCATCTTGGAAGCGGTCTGCATCGAAGCACACCAAAGATTCTTTGGGTGAAGCTGCGAAGCCAGAAGCTGCGAAGCCGGAAGCTGTGAAGCCGAACTCTGCGAAGCCGCCTGCTACACCTGTCAAGACACAAGCGAAAGATGTTATTAATCGTATGACGTCAGTTTCTACCGTCTACGATCCTGACGTCGAAGACCGTGTTCATAATAACTTCAACGATGAACTCAATACGCCCATACCACTCGAGGTCTACGCCAACCTTGCACATACCTTGGAAGGTCCCAACACATGGTATCTCGACAGTTGTTGCGGCCAGCATATGTGTTCCTAAGAAAATCGTTTCGTCATCAATCAGCGTCGTCTTCAGAACCCGTGTGTTGTCACAGTCGCCAACAATCAACGCCTTACAGCACACCGGATGGGTAACATCATTCTTGATTCCGTTGAAGAAGACTTCAGTCTTCACCTTAACGATGTACTTCTTGTTCCTCGACTTAGCTTCAATCTGATGTCATCTGCACAGCTGATGCCTGCTACTTCCCGCCTGCTGCCTGCCTGCTACTTGCTGCCTGCTGCCGCCTGCCTGCCGCCTGCCTGCAGCCTGCCTGCTGCCTGCCTGCTGCCGCCTGCCTGCTTACTGCCTGCAGCCTACCTGCCTGCCTGCTTGCTGCCTGCTGCCGCCTGCCTGCAGCTTGCCTGCCTGCTGCCTGCCTGCCTACTTGCTGCCTGCTGCCGCCTGCCTGCAACCTGCCTGCTGCCTGCCTGCTGCCTGCCTGCTACTTGCTGCCTACTGCCGCCTGCCTGCTTGCTGCCTGCTGCCGCCTGCCTGCCGCCTGCCTGCCTGCCTGCTTGCTGCCCGCTGCCGCCTGCCTGCAGCTTGCCTGCTGCCTGCCTGCTGCTTGCTGCTCCTGCCTCCTACTTGGTGCCTGCTTCCTCTGCCTGCTGCCTGCTGCCTCCTGCCTTAAGCCAATATGGCGACGCCTAACGTTCTAGCGTTCGAGCCTGACGGTCGTCCCATCGAGTTCACTGTATGGTTAGACGATCTCCAGCTGTTCCTTCTGACTGATGCCAAAGATGGCATTTCCCTGTTTGATTACGTCTCTGGCACTGCCGTTGCTCCTGCTGCTGATGCTCCTGCTCTAGAACGCTCCCAGTGGCAGACTCGTGATGCTGCTGCACGCCTAGCTATTAGGAACCACCTGCCGATTACTAAGCGAGCGCATTTCAGCCAGCACAGAACTGCTAAGACACTGTACGACGCTGTAGTTGCGCGCTACTCCTCCACGGCCACTGCAGCCATAGGTCGACTCATGCTACCGTACCTGTTCCCCGATCTTTCCTCGTTCACCACTGCTGAGGACCTAGTTTCTCACCTGCGCGCTACTGACTCTCGCTTTCGTGCCGCCCTTTCAGCCGAGTTCTGCGCCGCAACCCCCCCCCCCCCCCCCCCCCCCGATGTACTTCACTCTCTATTTCCTCGTCACCCGCCTCCCTGACACTCTTAGCTCTGTCAGGGACCACTTCCTAGCGCTAGACCCCACCACTCTCACTGTAGACGACTTCGAGAAGCACCTCCTTGCAGCAGAGAAGAACATCCTCGCTGTAGGTGCTGCTCGTGGCACTCCTCGCTCTCCCCTCTTTGAGGGGTGCTCCCCCTCCCCTCTCACCCCCTCCTACGCCTCCGCAGCTGCTGCTCACGACTACCTTGGTGCTGAGGGGGTCGGAGCTGCTTCCGCTCCCAGTGGGAAGCGTCGCAGCGGCAGGGGCGGCAGGGGTGGCAGGGGCGGTGGGGGTGGAGGTGGTGGAGGTGGTGGAGGTGGTGGAGGTGGAGGCGGTGGTGGGGGTGGTCGTGGGGGTGGAGGCGGTGGTGGTGGTGGTGGGGGCGGCGGAGGCACTGGGAGCGGTGGAGGCGGCAGCAGCGGAGGTGGGGGAGGAGGGAGCGGTAGTGGCAGTGGTGGTCAGGGCCAGCAGCAGCCGCAGCAGCAGCAGTAGCCGCAGCAGCAGCAGTAGCATCAGCGTCAGCGCCAGACCCCCACTTCCCAGCAACTTCTTGACTGGTATGCCGGGCGTGGGGCTTCTGGGGGTCCTGGTCGCTGCCCCTATATCATCCGCACAGGTCCCCGCGCTGGTCGCCAGTGCACAGGTTTTCACACTGAGCAGCGCTGCTTCGCTCGGCTTAGCGACGCCTGGCGCGCCAAGTTTCCTGATGCTACTGAGTTCCCCAACTGGGCAGACTTACTTAGGCGTGATGTACCTATCTTTGATCTTGACTATGAGGCAATTCTTGCTGCTATGTATGCCTTGTCTGTTAGTGCTGAGGGTGACTGCTACTTGTGTGTGCCGCCGGATCCTGGTATAACCCCTGGTATAGCCCCTGCAGCACTAGGTGCTTGTGAGTCTGCTCCCCTTGGTACTGCGCCTGCACAGGCTTTGCACACCTTTACACTTGACTCTGGTGCTTGTTAGAATGTTATATTTGTCTAGCCTGCAGTGGGGTACTCAATAGTGAGTACAACCCAATTTAGGGTTTCCTATATGTACTCAACTGCTTGCTAGTGCATTCATTCTCACTTCCTTCTTCTCACATTCCTGTTTAATTCTTCACATGGTATCAGAGCTGGTTCCCTCCTGGGACTGTTCCTTCCTCGGGCCCACCACTTCACTAAACTTTTTTTCTGCCCTGCCCTTAGCGCGTTTCGCGCTCTGCCCTGCTGCCCGTCGCGGCCCTTCGTGGCCCCTTCGTGGCCCCTTTGCGACCCCGTCGCGGCCCTGTCGCGGCCCCGTCACGGCCTCGCCCTGGCCCTGCCCCGTGGCCCGGCCCTGCCCCGTCGCCCTGTCGCGGCCCCCCGTCGCGGCCTCCTGTCGCGGCCCCCCGTCGCGGCCCTCT